GGGGGGGGGATGGGAGGGGGGGGGGGGCGCAGGACACGAGATAGGAAAGGACAAACCTTCCCTGCAAAAAAAGAAGAAATGAGAGCATTAAAGCAGTGAAACTTACTTATCTCTCAGGACTACACCTTCTATGCAGGCTCCAAATAATAATACACAACTGAAGTCTTGAGTACAGAGTGTGCTAAGGAAGTAGGATTTATTTAGACATGGCAGATGAAAACAACCACAGAAAGTATTGTGTAAAGTTCAATATGTGCCTCTGTCCTACAGCATTTGCACTGCAGCATCTCCATAAGTACATGGTAAAGCTGGTGAGTAAATTAATGTCTCACTGCTCATCTATAACTTCTAATGTTACAGTGACAAAGTTATTATTCTAAGTTTCAATTTCTAAAAAAGATCATTTTAAATGTTACATTAGAGGAGATAACTTCAAAGGAAATATTTTTATATGTAAATGCCAATTTAATCTGCTAGTATAGAACAGAAATGGATATTAAAATATCTTTCTTTTCTCCCTCCTCCTCCTGTGTCCAAAGGTATTTTGAACATATAGCAAACCATTGCTTTGCACTTTCTCCTTTTGTGGTCTCTGAAGACATTCACATCACCAATAAGTCTTTGAATATTGGGTTTGTTATTAAACTGTACAATTGTACAATACGAAAAGTAATAAAAGGGGAAACATTGATCACCTCTAAAAATTATGGTGTAAACCTTCCACTGGGTGGCGTATTAATATCTACATATAAAGTTACCCACCACGAAATAAGTTTTGAACTGCAAATGTTTTAATGCTAGACCTAGGGGTTAGGTCTGTGACCTGTTTTAGTATTTATTACGTTCACAGGAAATGCAGACTTCTTGGTACAGGGTCAGCTCCCAAAGTAACATCTGGAAAAGGCTGCACTCCTAAGAAGCTGGGACAAGTGAGCTGGGATCCTGATTTACAGCTTGGCAAGTTCTGGCAAAAAAACAGGTTGGAAACAGCAGAATTTCCAGGAGAGTCACCATCTCCGCCAGCTGCCTTTTGGGTGGGATTTATTCAGAAAGCTCTTACAAAGAAGTTTTGAAGTCCTTGCTCATATTAATTACCTTTTGCCTTTTCTTTTCTTTTTTTTTTTTTTTAATCTCCTATGTTGATAAATAGTAGTTTAGGACACCAACAAGCTAGATGAAGCTGAAAGACCTTGGCTTCATCTCTTCTCTAGCAGGAAAGAAGAGATTAAGAGTCTTTCCTAAGCAAAACTCCTGTAGTCCTAAGCCCTGAAGAGTTTAACCACATACAAAACCTGGCAACTTCAGCCGGGACAAAGGCTATTCCTCTGACCACACACTCAGCACCTAGAAATCTGGTATGATGAACATCCTCATATTCTGCAAATTAAGTGCTCCAGTCTCAGTGGAAACAGGCAGGAAACAAGTCATTCACAGCTACGTGGACCTCACTACTGAGCACAGTAACAACTCCACGCATGCCAGCTGGGGATGTGTCTTAGAATTGTGGAATAGCATTAAATCAGATTAATGTGTTAAAAATCAAGGGGGGGGGATAAAATACAGTCCTATAAGCTGATTTAAGATGATCTCATTTCACTGACTTCAAAATAAATACATAAATTCATGGGTACCAGTGAGCAGCTGACTCTACACATGAACCTATCCCCCACCCCCTTGGGGAACATCTAGTCTAATTTCTAACTCTCGTTTATCCTGCCCTAAAATGTTCAAGAAAGCCTATACTCCTTAGTGTCACTCAAACTAAAAGGCTTTCCTTTTTTTTTTTTTTTTTTTAAGAAACTGAAATATATGATCTCTCCCATTTAAAGCCTTTCCTCATCTTAATGGTCCACTGCATCTTAAAAAAATATACACCTGTATTCCACCAGCCTGAAAAGCTACAGCCCACTGTGTAGCAAAGAAAAGCAACAGAAGTGCAAAAGAACAAAAAACCCAACACAAAAAGGGGCATGGAAAACAACAGGATAATAATTCTGATGCTTTCAGCTCATGGACTGTTTGGGTTTTTTTTCCACTGACCAACCATACCCGCACTGATAATTTAGTCACCTGAAAGCAGTTCCACAAATCAGATACACAGTCATCCACCTGAGTCACAACATGCCAGGACTCTACTAATTTTAAAAGGATACAGACTAATGATGTGGTGACAATAGCAAGAATTGTTCCAACGGGAATGGATTTCTGTGCATCTTTGAGGTCCCCTGATCTGTTTGAACCAGCCATGATACCTGAAAATACATTCTGGATGTAAGATCATGGAAGAGAAGAAAGCTCAAGGGACCCTTGAGCCCTCTCGTCCCAGTATTCTCACCGGTCACTGAAGGGAAGAAGATGCCAACCAGCACCATGAATGAAGTAGCTATATCGGAAAGCACATATAGATGGAGGTTGTTCTTCTGGCCTGCTACATCAACAGATGGGTGATGTGCTTTCTCCAGTATCTCTCCTTTCTCCAAATAATTGCTCCATAAGTTGTCTTCAATGTTATTATCACACCACAGAAAAGAAAAGCATGTTTCAGTTCAAAACCCGTTCTCATTATAATGGGTTTATAACTGAAGATTACAAATGCAATTCACTGATCAACACAAATTAAGATGTATACAGGTTACATGAAAGAAAATTAATATTGCATGCTTTCAAGGGAATCTATAACAAAAACAATAAATACGCATGAATAGCCTAGAGAAGCCTAAGCACATTTAATGCTTTAATATCACTAAATGTAACATTCTTTTAACTTTGTACCTATTTTAACCCCACGAAATACACTGATTATTTTTAAGGAACCACTATACCCACACATAGTAGCTCAGCGAATCCAAAGCAGCAATACAACCAGCTTTCTAGATATAAACTGATTTGTTCTTTAGGCAGTGGAAGAATTTACAGAATTATATGGTTGGCATTTGAAATTTCACTAATAAAACGCTGAGTCCATTTTAGAAACTAGACTACTAGTTTCTGTGAAAATGGGAACCATAGGCACTCAGCACCCGCACAAAGCAACTGGTCTCGCATTCATTTCAATAATGAACACTCTTCAATGATATTATATTCAGGAGTGGGCAAAGAAGGAGGTATACTATTTTTATATGAGTACTCTTATCTTTCAGGACATAATCATAATCTGTATAAAATGTAGAGTCATAGCTACACAGAGTTCTGAAAAATTTTAACAACTTACTCATGTTGGTATAGCTCATAATTACAGATGACTTTCTGCTGAAATTATGAGATGTATAAGGCAAATTTAATCACTTTTACAGCAGACAAGTACTGTATCTTAAGACTGGGTTTTCTTTATTGAAGATAATTTTCTTCACTGTAACTACATTTCTTCAGTCCCTCTTTCTTAACCAGCAGGGAACAGTTCAACCCATTTCAACTGCTCAGCATGTCTCCTCTTTAAGGGAAAAAAAAATATTCTGTCATACCTTTTAAAATGCCACTAGCAGCTCCCGGAATTCCTGCTATCTCGGAGACATTGTTCATTAGGAAATATTCATCACAGTTCTCGGTGGTTAAGTTTGTACTGTGGCAGAAGAGCTCCCAAAGCTTAGAGGCCACAGTAATGTTATCCTTAACTATGGTTTTGGCACAAACATCAAACTGATCTCTGGACAAAGTCCTGTTGCCCAACATGCAAATCCTGGAAGGGAAACATGAAAACCAGTATTATTATATGGTATTGGGAAAATGAAGTCTGTCCTTCCCCATAATTTTTCTTTCATATCATGGAAACTTCAAGTGCCTCTAGTCTACTACATCATTTCTGAGCTCCAAAAAGATGGTGGTAACAGGACAAAGACTGTACATCTGTTTCTTTTAAGGGTCAGAAGTATAAAGCTACTTTTCCAACAATCTTGGGAGAGGTATAAAAAGCTACGTCAGCGTGATTTATTGAATTTGGTAAATTTACCTTAAAGAATGAAAGGGAAAGATTAGGCCACTTTTTTTTTTTCCCCCCAGTTAAACACAACTACTGGAGTGGAAGAGATCTGAAGAATACTACCATTTAAATTACTAGATATTTAGAATATCTAAAGATATTTGGAATCACATTATCCCAGCTTCTGTATAGTAGCACTCAAATGACCCCTGACATTTTAGCTTCAGAATTAGGAGCTTACATTTCAAGCACAATAAGCAAAGTTTCTTCTTGTCAGAACATACTATGCATAATTGCTGAAATCCTCCAGTACCTGTTGTGTTTCACATAACTACAAATATAGTTTATTCCAGCACTGAAAATTTTTCATCTACTTCTGCAAAGACAGTTCCACAAAACATAGTGATATAACATAACAGCTTGCTGCCACTAAAAGTTCATTGAGCTTCTCTTCCCAGTGCCAGAAAATACCCACAGAAAAAAAATAAATTATTTCTTCCATTTTAATAAGTTTAATTGTTTCATGGGTCTTATCAATCACGAAAGCCAGGAAAATGGAAGAGACAGGGCCATTTTTGTAGGGTTTGCAGGCCTGTGAACTGTAACTTCAGAGAAGCCTTCCCCTCCAGAATTAAAAATAAATACAATATCTAGTTACTTCAGCAAAAGAAAAAGGAATACAGCCCAAGGAAGAAAGGTAGCGAGAACATTCAAGAACAATCCAAGAGATAATGAGGGGGAGGTAGAGACATTGTTTTATTTTTACTGCTGTAAACCTGCCACTGTTGTAAAACATTATAATCATTGGGCCCTAAATATCTAAAGGGAGCACTTGAGGGTTGCAAGTACTTAGTTACGGTCACAACATTTTAAGATGTGAATAATTATGCAGACTCAACTCCTCTATTTCCATTCCATTCATCTCTTGTCAGCAGCATCAAGAAATACTGTTTGCATTTCTGGTAAAACACATGCACCCACATTATCGCTGCTCCAGCTCTGAGTTTAAGAAACCGTATTACATGTTTAACTGCCAACATGCCAAGTAGTACGTGTTGTGTTTGGAGCAGGGCTACTCACATGGCAGACTAATCTGCTTTCAGGCCAAGGGGAAGTTTCGCTGGAGCCTCAGCACAGCCCCACCATCACACCTTCCACATTCCTAAGAGATGCCCTATTTCTCAGCAAGCAGCTGCATCACACCACCACAGTTTCCAACCACGAAGGCAGCTCATCATATCCGACTGGCCTGGAGAAAATGTACTTGCCAAACTGCTTCCTGCTAACTGCCATAAATAACCCAGCAAAATTCTTGCTAAAATTTAACTCAGCAGCTGTAGGCTAAGATACTGGATCGTCTTTGCAGGAAGCAGAGAAACATCAGCCTCTGTCGATCTGTATACTCACCACTAGACTTTATTCTACCAAGACAGTTAAAAAAATGTAATAATGCACTCATTTTAGCCTGAGAAACCTCTATTCCATGAGCTCTGCATACAGAAGACTATCACTGTCAAAAGAAATCTGAAGTAATTCACAAAAAAGGTAGCTCTGACAACGTATTAGGCAACAGTTTTAAGTAACTTCCATTGAATCCCACCTTCCAGATCTGTAGGCAAAGCCATACCCCCATCCAGAAACACTACTCACGGAAATTCAGGTGGATCAAAGATGGACTTGATAGCTCCAGCATAAATGGACAGTATAGATATTACTACGCAGGCCAAGAAGAGGGAAGCAAATTTGTTAACATATTTCACACCCACAAAGACCACCACTGCCATAAGGATGAGGAATACAGTTCCATACACCCTCATGTTATTTAGCATAGCACTGGATGCATCATGGGCACCGGATGGATGAAAAATTGCTGCTTGTGGCACAATATATGTCTGAAACAAGAAGAAAGCAAGCTGAAGGAACACAGGAACAGAACTCTGGCTATATTACTGTAGTGATCTTGTACTTATACTAGAAATTTAAATCACTTTCCAATCTGTAACACGCTCTTAACCAGGAATCTTCAGTTTATAGGAAAAGTCAAGCAATAACGGTCCATTCTATTTCAGTAATACAACTGAGCCAACTTCATCAATGATGAGCATGTGTCTTTGACTAAGTTGTACTTCCATCTGTGTTTTCAGAAAAGCTTCCATTCTGGATACCCAGAGCATGCACCTTCCAAAGGGAAGCACTAGCAGTACAGAATTGGACACCAAGAAACTGGAGACCTTCTGGTCTCTACCTGTAAATACGTATACAAATATGGGACAAGAATACTAGGGCATTTTCCATATGCTATTTGTTTTAAAAGCAGACTACTCCAATACTACTCACCAATAAAATCTCAATGGCACCAAGGATATACATTGCTCCTGCAAATGTTGTTCCCAAATAAAAGCACAGCCCTACAGCTCCACCAAACTCTGGGCCCAATGACCTGGATATCATGAAATAGGAGCCACCAGCTACGAAACAAGAAAAGTGAGAGTAAAATTACCATTTATTTATTGTTATAAATTGTAAAATATTCACAACAAGAACACAACAAAATTATACACTGTGTATCTGCTTTTTGTGGGGTTCAACTGAAGTATCTTTTTGTTAGCACAGGGGTAACTAAAAACCAAATAATTTAATCTTTAGTCTAACTGATAGTGAGAAGAAATACTAGATATGAATTCAGGCTTTGTATCCTGGCTTAAGCAAATTTCTCTGCAATAAAACCACATTAACAGCTTATAGCAACTTTTTTTTTTTTTTTTTTTTTTAAAAACAGAAATGAGAAGTTTGGCAACTACACTTACCTGGAACAACACCATTTGTGGCAATAGCACTCATTGATATGGTTGTCAGCATAGTCTGGGGAAAACAAGGAAAAGGAAGCAACTATGTCAACAATGTTTTTTGAAACGTAACTTATTTCTTGATAGAGTAAAGCTGCCACTGCATATAGGATACAGTATTTATCTTTATTCTGCCTTGACAGGTCATTATCTGAAAGAAAACAAGGGCAGCAGGAATTTAATCATCAACCTGTTGAGACTTTTGCTTGAGAGATAACCACTGCTTTATCAGGTCAAATAATGGGTGTCTGCATACAAAGCAAGATAAAAGAATGCAGGTGTCCCTCTATCTGCAGAGCTGAAATTCCAACAAAGGCTAGTCCAGCAAAGGAGACAGCCATGACCTGGCACAGGCACAGAAAACAGCTGTTTGCTGAACAAACGCTATTTTTAAGACTGTATCTACACTAGATACAGTTCGCCAGTTTACAAATACTAGCCAAAAAAAGAAAAAAAAAAGGCGGGGGGGGAATCACATGACTACAAACATAGCAGAAGTGTCTAGCAGAAACGTGGCTTTTCTTTACACATGCATCTACAATGCAGCCTCTCCAAGTTTCTTAATAGTTTCACAGAGATTATGTCACATGCATTATTTTACCCATATACTTACACAACAGCAGCAAAGTAACACAATCAGGAAGGACTGAAGAACTCCAGCCATTCCCACCATCCAAGTCAGCCGAAGGAAAAGAATAACCCCAAAGATATTCTGCATGCATGGTAAATACACCCCCATCAGGGTGCCCATGCTGGGTGACTGAAAAAAAAAAAAAAAGTTCATTGACATTCATTAACTGGAGTTATTCACAGCATAAAAACCCCTACAACTTCAGTTTTTCAAATGGTAGAAATCTGGGAAACATAAGGTAGACACATAAAAATACTTTTGTGCTGGACTTCCACAAAACATGACGCAAACTCCAAAACCACAAATTTCTGAACAAAATGTTGACCCTATCACATCTTCACACCTGAAGGAATTATACTCAGCATTTAACACCAATTACTAACAACAGAACATACATATATTTGTTTTATTGTAGAACCACAGAGTTTCTAGTATGAAACCTGTTGAATTCTGCAGACCCCGAGTAAGATAAATCCTACCCTACTCCCCAGAGTTTACTAATTAGTTTCATGGAAAACATACTTTTGTGATCTTACAACCAGAAAAGATTTGGAAGTAATCTGGAGACATGCATAATGTATTTTCTTCCATGTTATATGTTCTATGTAAAACTAATGATTCTAACCTTTCTTATGTTTAATATTAGCATCACACTCTGAATTACTTTTGACAGTGACTGAGAAAATACAAGTTAGTTACACAACTTCACAGGTACTGCACATGACTGACATTCAACATAGTATCTTGTAGAAATCTCTTTGGCCCAAATAGCTATTGCCAGAGGACAGTCAGATCCAAAACAATGATATCGAAATGCCACTGATAAGGGTTTTACTTCAAGGAATACAAAAGTGTTCCCTGCTTTGGCACACCTTGCACTAGCAGCATTTCAGACTCCCAAATCTCTGTGGTTTCCTGCCAAGACATTTCATTGCTTCTGCTTTCTGAGGTTTTCTTTTGCATTTAAAATTATACAGAACACTGAAACACAGGGGAAATAGAGAGTGTAACTTCTCAAAGGCTCATCCCTTTCTATAAATAAACCTGAATTCCAAAACATATTACAGATAGACAGCATTTAAAGAAACCCATGAACAATCATCTAAATGAGAAGGATATTAAAGGAAGGTGACAACAGTTGTTCAAATTTGACTCCACATAGCATTAACTAAATGCAAAAATAAATAGGTAACATGTACCCTTATAAACAAATTAGTTATGAATCAAAAGCAACGGTACTTAAGGCAAGCATATTACTCTTAAAGCAATAAAATGGCTGTCAAAAACTTTGTTCTTGCCTTGTCTTCCCTGTGGAAAAATTTAGTTACCTAAGGTAAGTCAAGAGTGTATTTTATTACATAAAGCAAAATCCTAGAAAAATCAAATGGTCAAAATAAGCAATCTAGGAATTCAGTGCTTCAACTCACAATCACACAGTACAATTTGAAATTTCCTCATCTACATGAGGAATCTGCCCTGCCAGACATGAAAGAAAACTGTGCCCAAGAACATGATCTGAACAGTTCTTTGTTAGAAATGCCAGGAATTGCCGACTGAGTTTTCTGAAGTCAGCTTGGAATTCTTTGTGTGACTAAGGCTAAATCAGAACAAACAGACCTTCCCCATATACACACTTCAACTCGAGTGAACCTCCTGAAGTAAAGTGGGCAACAGAGCCATGTGCTGATGGTTGCCAATGGACTTACCCTATGAGACCCACCAGCACAGGGCCAGAGAGCTGTTACTCACCTGTTCCGATGCCACAGTACAAAAAAAAAAAAAAATCCCTAAAACGTCACCTGCCATTTATACAAAAATCACCGTCCTATAGAACTAACCTGATCAGTTTTGTCAAGATTATGTATAAGGACAAAAGGAATCGTTTTCTGATACTAACAGAAGTGACACTTGTACATAAGTATCCTGATTAGGGTAAGGTAAGGATTTTTTAACAAGTTGTTCCAATGCTACAGCGTAGGAAGATCTTCTCAGGGTATTCTTTATAGTGTACCTGCTTCCTCAAGAAGGGGAGGTTTAGATGCTTTTGATTCAAACACCTTCATCTGATTCACATTATGTCTTCAACTGCATAAACATTAACTGAGAAAGGACTAAATAATGTTGCCAGGCTCTGGGCAGATTTTGCCCTGCATAAGGGCTTCCTATTGTCACATTAATGTATTCTTTGCCTCTATCTGATCATTCATCCATCAGTCACCCCCCTCACAGCACCTCTGAACGCAGCAGCCAGCATCAAGTGAATTTATCAGATGTGTGGGTATTTCAGAGGTAAAGGATTCTCTACGAGATTGTCAAAATTGGCATCTGGGAAAAGGAAAGAAGCTCAACCTATTGCCCCTACACAGGAGAAGCAAGTGGAGTACAGTTATTATATATTCTACATGACAGTCTTCCAAACACTATCAAAGCAGGTGAGTTTTCAGCCTGCCCTTTACACATCTCCCAACACCTGCTTCCTTTGCATAAGAATTCACCTTAGCTCAGCTCCTTCCTATCTTCTGCCCTATGTGGTCCCTGCAGCTTTGCTCTACTGTTAATCATCTTCTTCCCTTCCCTCTTAAGTGGCCTCTTATGCATATCAAGTTATAAAGCTAACTTCAGCCACAGAGGAAGAGAAATCGTGCACTAGTTGTGTAGTTATGAGACTACTGCAGAGCAGAGCAGCCTAGGAAATGCGTAAGTGTCTGCCCACAGACAAAACCCAAGCCACAGGTATTACTCAGTGTACCTCGGGCATAAGAGTTTACTCTGGATTTTCTTACCCCGCAGAATAAAAAATACTAGTATGAAAGAATGATCCACAATTACAACTTGAACCAGCTTGTTCACAGAAATATTTAACACCAGTGATCTGCAGTGACTTGACCCTTTTTTTATAGCAACTTATAATCAGTAAGTGATACTAAACCAGTGCTTAACTCTCAACAGAATGCAATCTGAAATGAGAAGGGTATTATGTTCAGTCTCAACAGCTACTAAATGAAAAAAAATTTAACACCCCATGCTGCATAAAGGAAATAAAACACAAAGACATTTTGAAGAACACTGGTTTAGATCAACCAAGAAGGGACAGAAAAATCTCGAAAACAGTCTCAATTTCAGCAATGCAGATCATGTTTCTATTCACTCTAATCAGCTGCAGACACATAATTGATACAAATATTGATCTGAGTCTGAAGGACACTATTTCCATTGTGCCAGCATGATGGGTTATCAAAGCACTTGGCTGTAGGGCTCCGGGACATTGATCAGTAATGACAGCTCTTGTGGTTGCCCTGTCGCATGAGGACAGACAGCAGCACAGAAATGAACTGTCTTATTAAAGATACATGAACTAAAATAGTTAATCTAAATTTTTCCATCATAAGACGGGGATATTTTTATAGCACTGTGAATATTAAGTGCTTTAATACAAGACTGTATTTAGAAAAGATAAAAAGCAACGCAATTTCTACCCTTTTACATGGACTAGTGTCAATTTTATCTGATGTGTATCTAACAGAATGCTACTATCAAAAATACTTAATGGGAATGCTGAAACAGGGTAACATGTTTATATTAAGCTGTTTTGCACTGAAATCATCCTGATCTTCGTTTGCATCTTCCACAAACTCTGCAGCAATTATTCCAAGAGATTAGAAGGGGGGATAGTCACGTAATGTATTTTCCTGAGCTCTTTTGGTCTCGTCACTGTAGAAAGCAGGTGCTGACAACACTGATCTCCTCCAGCTAAAGCACATCACTCTCTAGTCCTTTAAGCTTAAACTTTGGAAGAGAGATCTCATTTTTACAATACCCACCTCTCAGAGATTTGGCCACATCATGTGCACACAACTGCCTTGTCTCTTTTTTTGTGTGTGTCCGTGGGGTTTTTTTGTTGGTTTGGGGTTTTTGTGGTTTGTTTTTGGGTTGGGTTTTTTGGTCACTTGAATGAATATGATTTGGTGGGCAGGTGTGTGCTAGATAACAAAACGGTATTCACTGAGACACCTGTCTTACCTGCTCAGAGAATTATATATTCACTTACTGAAAGGACTGCTTTCTTCATTCAATTTTCAAATACCAGATCTAGAGTCTGCTCAATCTCCTCGCTCCAGTTCTTGTCTATGAGATGCCAATTCCAGTAAGTGACACATCAGGACAGGCAGCTTACCTTTCATCGTCACGCTGGCTGGGGATATATTTGCCGAGTGTACCCAGTATAGCATTCAGCAATGAGTCTGTTAACAATGCTGGCACTTAAAAACAGAACCTGCGATCATGTTGGGGTGCATATTCATGCTTCTGTACTAATGCTCAAATGGGAAGAATAAGGTAACAGCACTGCATTGATTTATATTTCAAAGATTATTAAAGACAAATGTGTAGAAGAATCCCATTTGCACAGTTTCTGGATACCTTCAATCCATAGCATAGTACAGTTACTGCTTTTGAATTTCCTGTTTTTAATGGTTATAATTACTGGCCAAGTTAATAATCAACCTTCTTACATTCTACAAGATGTTTAAAATTTCATATTGTATATGGCAAGAGAGGGAGAAGAAATTCAAACTACAGTTATAACATTGCAGCTGATGCAATTTATCCCAGACGCAGACATGCTAGGCAAAGATTCACTTAAGGAAACTGCAGTGTTTACACAGAAAATACTGAGATATTAATGCAGGATGATATTGTCACTTTTGGAATGGTTACCCAAACCATTCTACAAAAAACATCTGAGAAGTCTGCAGACACACATTTTTGGGACACGGGAAAGCATAATTCAGGACAACCCAGGTATTTTGCCCAAACCCTATTTTACCATAGAAGCATAGGTTTAACAAGGACAACAGTCCTTTTTTAAAAATGGCAGTAAACAGTCTGAAAACATGCAAGTGTTTACATAAATCATACCTAGATGTAGAAATATTAACACCAAACCTTACATGTTACTCTACCAGGGATTTAAAACAACTTCCCAGTTTCCTGTTATTTGCCCCATTTTTACCTTATGAAGCTATACTGCATTTGCTTTAACCAACTTTACACTACAGACCCGTCACGAAATTCTCCCAATTCTTTCTCCAACAGGGAAGTAAGCGACTAGCTTTCAGATTAGACTGCATCTTACCCTGGTATTGTGGTCAGGCAATTAATGAGGAAATAAAACAGCAAAAGTGATCAGAACTTTCTAAAAATAGTAAGGACTGTACCTATTGTATCCCCCTCCATTCTATCTTTGTTAGGATAACAATCGATCTGATTTTGATAGGAAGAGGCTGAAAATTATTTTAATTATGCAACACCACCATATTAACAGCTGATGCCTGAAATTATTCCTACCAAAAGCATGCTAAAACAGAGATGCAGCTGACATTTCATGTTAGTAATGCCAAGGTAAAAACTTTGGACAGACTCAGCAATTAGCATAACACCAAGTACTACACAAAAGAAACTGACAGTTAAAATGTTTAAATTACTTTTTTAATGTAAGCTTATAATACTAGAAAGCAGTTACTGCACCCAGAAGACCTTCACTCAGTCTTGTAATAATGTCATATTAACCACAATATTACAGCACTTTAGTGTGTGCGGTCTCAGATAAAATTGAGTTTTAAACTTCATGTTGACTAAACAACTTTGTTAACCACAGTGCAAAACCGTGCAGAGCAAGGAACTGGAGTGTAAGGGAGCTGGAATCCAGCTTTCAGCATGGGGTAACATGCATTCTCTTTGAGAGCAATGTGCTGTTTTTCAACATTATCACTGCCATCTCATTCTGAAATGGCTCAACTTTGACAGGGCAGTACTATAAAATCTGTTTCAAGTGCTACCTTACTTTTTTGGAAAACTTTCTTTTGACAAAATTTGCAAGCACACTGACAGGCCTGCAAGTGCCATAAAACGCAACCACACCACTTGAGGGTTTAGCACTAACTGAAACACTTGCCTGACTGCCAGAGCACTAAGAAGAGCAGTTAGAACATAGCCCTCCTGATACAAATCTAACTACCAACAATCAATCCCCACCTTCTACCTAGTTATTACAAGGCCAGCCCAAACGGGCTAACCATCTAAATGCAGATCCTTTGGGGCAGAAATCAGCTGCCTAAATGCCTAAGAAGAGAATGACTCTTGAGCTGCCGCAGGCTGTCCTATCTGACCTCCACCCACTGCTCTAGAAGGGTGTTGCCTCCTGCAAGTCCTGTGTCATACCCACCAGGCTTGTAGAGATGTGTCAGATACTGCTGGGCAGCTAAAACAGCACTACGAAAAAGCTGGGCGTTTTGTTTTGTTGTTTATTCGATTCACCGCGAAAAGCCTATGCTCCTTACCTAAATCCATCCCAAGTGTATGTAACTGCACCGTAGGGCACAGTGCTTAACCACTGCATCCGCCCCAATTCTTTGGTAACATTTGGCTACCTACAGAGTTCTACGTTATTTCTTTGCAACACTGTCATGGCTCCTGACGGACATTAAGATAAAGCAGAAAGGAGTCCAGCTCCCCAAAAATCACATAGGCAATCATCCCATTCATTGGCTGGCCATGGAGAGAATCTTTACTTACTTTTGATACTTTCTTTTTCGAGCCATCAGTACTTTCTGCTTCTTCATGTTCCTTAACACCTTGAGTAAGATTTGTGTAGTTGACCAACTTGCCAAGCAGAGATGACACTTTCGGTCGTATATCAAGTTCTTCCTGGGGAAGAAGACAACTAGTCAACTTCTGCAATTCACAGCATTTATGAAGAGTGGCTGGGGTCATGCCTTCCTTGGCATGCCTGAGGGTGCCAGGGAACACACCAGGAAAATCACCCAGGGAATGACAGAATATTTCATTATGCCTGAACCACTGATGAGAAGATTTACTTTTCTAAAAGGAGGGCAACTCTGACAAAAAAAAAGCTATGCCAACAGGTCTGCACTGTATGCACCTTTGCATGAATTACAGCAATAAAGAAGTCGGAGCCTTGGGACTGTAAGAAAATGAAGGTATACCTTGCATGTATCTCTAGATGTCAGCTTACATCAACATATATGCTTTTAAAAAGGTCAAGTTGCCAAACAAATCAGAGACTTAGTGATTAAACTCCGGCCATTGTAGGCAGGCATGCACTCTGATAATTCTATTACGTTTTTCAAACTATGTCACCTAATTCATGTGGATCTAGATAAAAATCCCAGAAGCCGCGTTTACAGAGGCCTCACACCTTTACATTCATCCCATCCAACTTCTGTTTCTGAAAGTAACTTCAAGGGGAAAAAAGAAAAAGAAAAAAAATCAGAATAAAATCATTCCTTTCCCCTTTCTCTTTGAAATAAAAATGTCTTGCATGTCTAATTGCACAGTAAGTGATGCATGGTAAAAAGAACAACTTTCTACACAGGAAATAAAAGCTGATTAAGAAAGATTTCACTGTCTGGAGTTGTATCATATCTTCATGTATCATTACAAACAGTTTCTGGTAGGATTGGTAGCATTATGTGCTTTGACCTAATGCAGACACTGACCCCAAATGGCTAAGCGGATGCCATGAGCCAAGCACTCCTTCTCTTACTCCTTCCTCTGATCTGATCTGATGTTCACATCTTTAAAAATCTGATTACAATTCCTTCCAGAAAGAGGCTGAGGCAACACATGCTTCCTGTTCAGTTAGTTGAGCAGCATGGCCTTTGGGATGCTCCTCCCTCTCTTCATTACCACAGAAAGAGCTTGCAGACCTGGTGTGGTACTGTGTTATTGCTTCTGAAAGAGGCAGGCGTGTGACTAGCAGCAGCCATGTCACAAGTGGCCAACTCTCCATGCCCTACAATTTATCCTGATCACAGGTTTACCATGCCTTTGAGGGAGGAGACACCACAGCTGGGAGCATGCTTCAAAGTCTTTTAGCTCAAGCACACTGCCTGCAAACATGGTTGTAGCATTTCCATGGTGAGTTCCTATCTAGCAGTAGGTTAGTTATACTTGTCCAGGCTCTATGCCACGCAGCTGAACTCTGCAGGCGCCAACCTGGCGGGGTGTAGAGCCAGCTCAGGCTGCCCCACAGTGAGTTCCCAGAACGCGAAACACAGGGTACACATTGCCAGTATTGCTGTGAAGCTGTAACTCAGCAGCACAGCTGGAAAGCAGCTGCAGAGCCATACAAAGACTCTCTGCACCACTCCCCAGCACCTGAGCTTCCGAAAACATTTTTTAGAAACTTGGTCTTAGCACACCATGATATATTTGAATTTAATGCAGTGCCAGTGACGTGAAGATCTGGAGGAGGATGCTGCAGGACTTGGTGTGGCTCCAACTGGCCTCCCACAGGAGAGCCTGGTCCTCCTTACTTCCACGTGGAAACAGTCAGACTGCCCTGCCTCGCCCTCCCAAGTGGTGACAATACCTGAGCTTTTTCATCACACAGGGTATCTGCCTACCGATACCTTGGACAACAGACCTACACCCACAAAAAAGCATGTGGGGGAGAAATCCATATTACTGATATACTGCAGTTGTAATACAGGATACCCAGGCTAATCTGAGTGCCTGCATTCAGGCACTCTCCTACAGAATAACATGGTCCTTCTTAACACAGTAAATCAGGCCATGCTCATTTTCCACACTGATTAGCCCACAGTGCCACAGCTTTGCTATCTAAATTACTCAGGTCACTGCTGGTACCCTTATATTTTGCTCCTTTGTAGGCACAGCCCTAACACACCACTAGCTTTTAGATTTGTCATGCAGTGAGTTAGGTACCAACCCACAGCCTGGAACTTTGCGACGATCTCTCTTCCACTTAATACAATGTGCTCAATCCCTGCCATCTTGGAAGATCACAAATCATATTAGAAGTATGAAAAACAGTTAGAAATTACCTCAAACAAGGCCAGATTTCGGTCATAGTAATCACCTCCCTTGCCAGCTTCTGAACTGTTCAGGAAAGGACTGTTTTCTTTATGGTTGCCATGACCTGCAAAGAAAAAAAGCAGCAGGTTTTGATAAGAGCAGAAAGACAGATATGCCAAGGAAATTTTGTAACCTTGACAAAACCCATAAGGAATAAACTTCTTTCGTCAATTAAATCTGTTTCTTTTTAATATCTAGTTACGCAACGTCATCAATATCAGAAGTATTACCCTCAAGGTAAGAGTTTTTTCTATTTCTACTCCTCCTTTTTCATTAAACTAGAATAAATAGCCACCTCAAAGTAAAATTTACAAGCAGGGTCACAGCTACAACACTACTTGCGCCTTTATGCTCTAACGTTTCCTTTTATAACTTTCTTATATAGAACAGGGACAAGTGAAAAGACAGTTCCCGCGCACTTAGAAATCATTACTAATACTAAGAGCAACTTTTGAGCAGTATGTCCAAACAGACTATGTAGATTTAGTAAGACTGAGCAATTAAAAAACTAGATTCTGCTATTACAATACAGGTAAATATCAAAGTCCCCTCTTTTTTTTGTTGTTGGTGTCTTTTTGTTGTTCTTTTTTTACTATGCCCACTAATCCTAGACACCAAATGTCCTCATTTCATGATGCTTTTACCCTTATTGTAAAAGCATTCACATACGCAATGAACAATGTTTAAAAAAAAAAAAGATAACATGGAAAAATCAATAGAGCTTTTTGTAACTAGTAACTAAAAAAAAAAAACAACCAACCAACAATTTAAGGACACTGTAGTATAAAATGAGCTCTGGAGAAAAAAGAAAAAGAAAATTTAATTGATTCCAGCATTCAGAAGTTCTTGGACCTGTGGCTCCCATTGCACTCTGCTTGACAAACAAAAATTCCTTTCTTTTGCCTGCAGTAACTCTTCACTCCCTGCTCTTTCAGCCAATGCAAACTAAAGAGATTTCCAAGAGTATCTCCTTAAGAAAGGATCAATTCAAGGAATACTTTTTTTTTTAATACTTACTAAATAGTAACCACTAAAGAAATTGAAAATTAAAGAAAAAACTTATTTTCTCAAATGAAAATACTGCAAGCTAAAGAAGTATTGTACACTGAATACATAAAAAGCAAGATATTAAACAGCTGGATTTTTTTGGTGCATATTTTCAATAATTAAGGTAATCAATTCAACAAGGCTACACTAAATTATTTTAATATAATTGAAGTGGAAGTGTCTCTGCATTTTGAAATCTGAATCAACTTACAAAATGAACCTAACAGGCAAATATAAGACACACAGCAACCAGCATATACCACACTGTTACAAAAGTAATTGCTATAAGTGAAAAAATTATGAGAAAGATCAGTACTATTCCTACTGAGGGGTAGGGATGCATGGAAAGAAGCATGATTTGCTGGAAATTGCTCACAGGTGCTTTGAACAAAACTGTTGGAAAAAAAATATTCACAAACAGGTCTTTTTAAGCTTCTAGAATTATACACTTAGCTGACCAAAAATATTGGTAGATAGCAGTCTGCTGTGTTTATGTCTATTGCTTTTCTCACAGCTCTGACAACACCAAAATGTTAATTAGTAGTTGCCTTGCTCAAGTGGGCTCAGCTTATTTGCTGACCCTACCTACAGGTAAGAGATGTTCACATTGCTGTACATTGTAGAATTTTTTGCATGCCTAGAAAAGTATCAGTAAGCTTAGCAACACAGCATCAAAATACAATGCTTATTAACTTCAGCAAAGGTAAACATTCACTACAAAGCTGCAAAAACTACTTGCTTGCTGTTATTTGTTATGACTACTGACACAAGGAGTATACAAGATCACTTTTGTTGCAGTATGTGTTGTAAGATGTGCTGCAGTCCGTTCTATCCTACTGTGGTTGAAGTACACTTGCGATTCTTGCTGAGGACATGGAGTTATATGCTATATAGGTTTTACTCATGAAGCTGCACACAGGTGCAAATGATAATGACATCAGAAGAAATATTGTCTATTTGATTCTTGAAGACTTTGGTCTGTGCAGTATCTTCTCATCATTACACTTACCAAACACAGCAAGGTCATGAGTAACATGATTTCCTCATTTCCTATATAGTAGCTCTGGTAACTGAATGTTTGAAAAATCAAACTGATTTTTTTTTTTTTTAATTTTTTTAAATCACTGAGTAATTTTTAAATCAATTCTTTGCTGTCTTAGTTTTCCTTGTTCTTCCATTGGGAACCTTACCTCACAGATGCAGCTTACCACTGTCTTAATAAAGTATAATGGGCGCTCTTTTACTTGTAATGCTTACAGAAACTCTCACCTTTTTTATGTATAAAATCACGCTATTGTCAAGATAACTCATACATTCAATCTCAGATTTTTATATAAGATGACAATTATTTTGCTCTTTCAAAACACCAAGCCTCTCATTACCATCATCGGTATAACCTATCCTTAGTTAAGAAAGATTACTTCAAACCACCTCCCTGAGCCTGACAAAGACCAGTGACTTAAGATGAATCTTCAAGTTAATTGGCATTATTTTTTAGATGCATCTTAATTTTACCCCCAGTAAATTTTTCACAATTGGTGTCTTCAGAAGCTCGCTCACTCTCAAAAAGTTTCCAGTTCCTCTTTCATCCTCCATTTGCATTTTCAAGCATCACCCAATTCCTTCCCATCAGACCTTCCCTCTGAATTTGACTCTTTGGTGTGCTTGCTTTATACATCTTCCTGCACAAAGGCAGCCCAAAGCAAGCAAACTGCAATAGAAAAATCAGTAGAACTAGTGACTGGAAATGGAGCACTGTTTTTGCAATTGCTAGGACACGTTTTTCTCTCAGTGGAAAAGTTCAGATGATAAAGAAATACAGCTGTTTTTTTACCACAGTCACAGCACTAGCTCCATTATCCTGAAAGTGTATACAGATTATGAATTACTGCTGACAATGCAAAAATAAAACTGCATGATTCTACTGATCCAACGAAGTGCCACATTAAACCCTCTCTCAAACACTGTACACTTTCAACAGGAAGCAAAGGAGTTTAAGTTTATATTCAAGTTCTTCACAATGACATCCTATTTTAACTTCACCGATAGGTAGAACTGGATGCTGCAGAGATGTGTACCGATTCAAGAAGAGTACTACATTGCTAAGTTAAACACAGCTAATTAAATGATAGCCAAAATCACCTTCACCACAGCTGCATGTTCGGTACAATCTCTACTTTTCAGACACATCCTAAATCACAACATCAAAGAGTTCATCTCATTTTCTCTCTTTCCATATTGTTTCCAATTTCATGAGTAAAACCTATGGCAGATAACTATTTCCTCAACAAGAATCACATATGTACTTTGACAAAACAGAACGCAATGGACTGCAGCACAGTATACGATACGTACTGCAATAAAAAAAAGTGGTCTAGTATATTCTGCCAATGAGCAATACCAGCAGCTTCAAAACGACTTACTTGCATGAGAAGAGCTTGTTATCTCCATCAGTTTTGGAAAGGAGTGGAGGTGACCTCGGAAAGCTACTCCGGGGAATTCTTGCCCCAGCTTCACACGAGGATAGTTTACATTCTGAAGCATGAAGTCTCCTGGGCAAGCCCCATCTTGTGACATGCGTACAGTTTTCCACATTCTTAGTTATATCAAGTCTTTGGTCTTGGACAGTAGCTATGTGGTGTTAGTTTTCATCATGCAAGACTGTTTTGCAAGGAACATTTCTTAAAGAGGGAGCTACATACTCTGCAATAGAGAATAATTTATTTGCCTTAGTCCCTAATTAATCTCAATTTTTGAGGCAGGCAAGCTATATTCCAAGTAGGTTAATGTTTCCTCTTCACTTGTTTCATTGCTTCTCAGTCTTCATTAGCTTTCAATAACTAAGGCATTTTATTTCTGAATGCTACCAGTTCACTTCCAAACCAAACAATTCTACTTGCAGCCACCACTACAATTGTACAGTTTATCTAAACATCTCCACCATAGCTCCCTGAACTTTTTAGAGGTCTCCTACTCAGGTATGGACACAGGTCTATAGAACAAGGTTCACCATCATGTGGATCACCTGAATTCCATAAAACATCAAAGATGGTCCATGGAACAAAACCTAAAAATCCTAAGTGTGCATCCTCTCATACAAACAAATACACTAGCCCAGGAGACAGCATAAAAGCAATAAATGGGTGTCCGAACTTTTGCCTAACTTTTATCTCATTGACAAGAAAAAACACTGTGGCAAAATTGTAGCGGATATTCTACTGACTGGTTTTATTTTGTTGTTCTCCAAAAGGTTTATGTTGCCCTTAAAAAAAAAAAAAAAAAAAAGATTAAGAACACAGAGGACAGTGTTCACATCCCTGCTTTCCTTCTGGAAGGAGATTAGGCCAGAGAGACATAGTTTCACTGCTTGAGCACACTGAGTGCAAGTCTTTTGTGCAAGCCATTGTGTTTTCTTTAGTAACTGAGGGATGAAAACCAGAATTTAGAGAGAATTACAGACAAAACACATATACAAAAGTAACTATAAGATAGACAGATTAGTGAGGATAAATGAAAGCTGAACAATTAGGCACAGTGAGACTATGGTAAAAAAAGACCAGGAAGCTTCACAGTGATAAAGTCTACTCAGCCAGACTACTGAAAGAATAATCATCCCTGCGAGAAGGTGGCAGGAACGGTTGCATGACTCGACCTGTCGAGGTTTTATTCTCCTCTATTGTTAGTTTCTGAACTCCCTTAAAGAAAACCACCACTCCCCTACTTCATCATGTTCAGTTAAATAAGTGGAAATTAGTACATCTTAAAACAACTTCAGATCTTTCCCTTTGGACATGACTAACTCAGAGAGACGCTCACCTAGTACTTATGGAGGCTCTACCTACCTGACGAGTTAAGGCACGCTGAAAGCACAGATGGACATAGTCTGACTAGCTTTAGTCTAGCCAGCACAGACAACAGGAGAAGTGAAAAATATAGTAATGCTAATTAAGCTGCAGTAAGGCTTAAAACATTAAGAAAAAAATAAAATGAAATCCCAAGAGGGCTGAACTTTGATAACAAACTTATGCCACTTTTCTTTTACAGGCATATATCTGAGCTAAATAAATGCAAGTTGGTAGAGGCCCATACACCATGCTCACAGTACCTCCAAAGGAATGCGCAGACTTTCAGACATGCTTTGCTAGGCAGGCAAGCTGGACAAAGCTCCAGATATGGCTACGACCTGTGACAATGGCATGCAGAGTTGCCATAATCCTCCCTGCCTGAAATATCAAGAGCTAAATCTTAACTAAGGGGCTAAATTTCTCAAAGAATTTTAGCGTGAATCAGAGTACAAATCAGAGTTAGAACTGAAATGTTAGGCTTCACAAAGAAACAAACCCATTGGTTTATTTACCCCTCTATAACTGATAAACAGCAGATACTTACTAGAAAACCAGCTCAAAGGACAGTCCAACCCTCCTCCCCTCAATGTAATTTGATTTCCAGGGCAGCATAAGAACTAATATCTCACTTCTAATTGTACTATGCATGCACAGACTCCTTTGTGTACGCCACAGTAAAAAAAAAAAAAAAAAAATTGTAATGAAATAGACTGTATAGCAGCTAACACCAGTTTTTTCTGTCATTCAGACACTATTTTACAAGCATCACTGGCCACAAAGCTTGTGATAGCTAGGGACACAAACTGAGCCATTTTCATACACAGAGAACATTATTTAAGCTTAGACTTTTTTTATTAAAAAAAATACTCAATCATTCATATTTTTAATATTCCATCTACAAGTAACACTGGAATCTAAGATTAGAAATTAGAGTTGATACCCAAGCAGTTGATGTGGGCTTTCTTTAACCTAATTTCAGCTATCTAAACAGCAGGCAGTTATACTCAACTAATCATGCAGGCTTGCTTTTTACTCAGAAAGAGATGGCTCAGTTAGCTGATCCCTGGAGTGCCTCTCCTGTACATGTACCTTGGCATGCTGCAAATTTCCTCTAAAGAGAGCCTAACTTAAATAAAAACCTAAATTATAAATGGCTTAAGGTATGCAAAATTTATCCCACTTCGGAAAACAAAAGCAAGTTAGTTCTGTTCAAATTTATTTATGCTTTTCCAGATTTTCACGTGTCAAGATCTTCTGCAAATCTCTACACAACTGGTAATTAGGCCAGAATTCAGTTTGATTTTCTGACCACGAAACCAAAATAGATTTGCTATACTTACTGTTGTCACAAGACCTAGAAGCAAATGAATACACCCAAGATAGGTATTCTACAGGTAAAAAAAAAAGTTAGAGGAACAATGGGATTGCTGCAAACAGAAATTATTTTCAGGTAGAGTATTTCTTCCTTGCATAATCAGGTAATTTTATTAGTCACAACATTATTTTTAGACATTTGTTCACAGCCTTAAGGATAAAGTTTTAATGTAAAGAGCTGTCCGTGTGCATTTTTATTACACTTTGGGGTTTTGGTTTGTTTATTTCTACAAAAGAAACTGTTCTAACGCAGTTCTTGAGTAAGCACTTTCCAGATGTTAACAACGATACTACTTTCCCAAGCACTTGTATTGTGAGATAAAACTTGGTTCCCTCCAAAAGGCTGTGCTACGTTCAGATAGCATTCTTCTCATCATCGACCAGCAGTACAGTTTTGCAGAACTGAGTATTGCTGAAGAACAGAAAACCCTAAACAGGTTTCTTGGCCTTTGCTAGTAGTTCAAGAACCCTGATATCTCCACATTTCAGCAGCAAAGCATTCAAGAGTATTGTTGAAGTGTATAAGGAGACTGTCATATTAAGATAACCCAAGAAACAATTAGATGACAATTTGATGTCAAACACATTCTAAATCTGCTTATATACTTCATTTATGTGGCTCCTCAGAAGTGGCTGGGCTAAACAAAACTCTTATTCACTCTCAGAACTGTCATGAAACCTCTTTCTTAGTTCATTCAGGAGACTATAACAAATTATTCAATTTACAATTATATTTTTGTAGAGATCCTTATCTATAAATTTCATAAGCAGAAATCAGATATCACTTTTCTTAAATTACTCACTTTCAACTGCTTAGCAAAAATCCCAATCCAACATCAGTAACAGTCCAAAGTAGAGATCTTATTATTATTAATAATAATTTTTAAAAAGACAGCCTATTAGAAATGTTTGTTTCTCCATGGACAACACACAGCTAGCCAGAAACAAGAAGTATTTCTAAAATATTTTTAAAACTACTAAGTTCTTGGAGTTGGGGGGTGGGGTGGTGTTTTAGGTGGTTTTTTTTATTAGGAGCATTATATTTACATCAGAAATATGAGAAACAGGAATAAATAGCATTGCATCTAGTTAGATAAAACTCATTCACACTATAAACTAGGCATTGGTAATGAAATAACTAACAGAAATCTGTTAATGCCAGTTCACTTAAGACCTTGGGCTACCAGGTCTTTTTCACTGAAGGCGGCAGAAAACATGAGCTGTAAATTCCAGGCTGACCCAGTATTTTATGAAAATAAAGGCCAAAGTTGCACTAGATAACTGGGACACTACAGCTGTGTGAGAGGAAAGAATAGCAGAATGAACAGACAGATCTTTACCTGGATAGCTTTTAGGAAGCAAAGAGATCCTCTGTACTTCAAACAGAGGCTCAAACTATCAGTTAACGCTGACAACACTGAACTCCCACATACCAGACCCAGACCCACGCTTCCATAAGAAACTGCAGCTTAAAAGCCAAACTATTGACATTAATGGGTATTTTAAGCATATAATGTGTTCATTCACCATTTTAAGATTAATACATAACATTACTTACTTCACTGTTAAATTGACACTGTCATTAAAGTTTTGAGTTTACTGAATTTTACCCAACAAGTAAAGGTGTGCTTCTTAAAATTCATTACACACTACACTGCAGATACCATGTACATATTTATAATCCCAGCAACAGCTTTGGCATCTACAAAAGCGACACAAACAAAGCACAGTTTTACCACAAAGTAAATTTAAAAGTTGTATTGTTGATAATATATTAGTTCCTCTGAAACAGTTCAGAGTTCTAAAGACTGCATTTGTTTGTGTTCTGCATGAAAGAAACAGCCAAAGCTTTCCCAGACAACAACCTATGCAACAGTTAGGCTGTACCAGGGAACAGAATTAAGTGTGCAATTAAGCACAGATGTTTGATTTATCCCTAGATAAACACGTGTGAAGTTACTATCAGACTTCTACTGTACTTTGCAAAACTAGAGAACAGCTTTACCAATCAAGTTGACTGATACCACACAACTCAAAGGATTTTGCAATTTAATAATCCTGTGTTTCAAAAGCGCAATGATTTTATTCTTCAGTTAAGATACACTGATAGTTTCAGAACACTATAATCCTTTGTAGGTATTAATATCAGCATGAAGTACTTACCCTTTAGCAATAGCTCTTTGCCATTTTCAGTAACTTGGTTTATCATTATTCTTCTTTCTGCTCTTAGTACATGCTTTAATAAGTGCCTTCTCTGTGAAGTCCTGAAGATCAGACAATTTTAATAATACCGTATTCCCAAAGGGATTTTTTTCCACCTCCTCTGACAAACTGACTGCTGGCCGCAATGCTGAATGGGACTGATCCCTTTCAGGAAGCAAAAGGGTTTCTTACAGAAAGCTAAGACAACACTGATACAATCCTAACATTATAATCCTTTTAACACTGAGAAAATATACAAGTGTCACGATCTTACTGAAAATGCTATTTGTGAAATCCAAACCCAGCCACATTTAAGAGGCACATTACCAGCTGTTTGCACACTTATTCAGAAAAGTGTGTGCCACAAATCTGCTGCTTGCCGAGTGTGGAATCAGACAGCGTTTTAAACCTGCTGATGCCATGAAAAGTATAGCTGTGACGTTAGCCCTCCAGGCATTTCAGCTTTCAAGTGAAAACAGTGATGTATTTCCTTCCATCTTCAATACGTTTTAATATGATTACCCATTAATGGACGAATCATATACAAGATCACAAAAGCAGTACATCAGCAGAATGAAATGGAGGTTTATGTAAGATACCTAAGTAAATACTAACAACGATTCTAAGCAGTTCATAATTACCAGAATCCACTCCATTCTGCTCATTCATAAGGAGGTCCTCTGGGTACCAGCACACACCACACTGAGACTTAACTACACTGTACAGTAGGTGCAATCACCAAGAATGCCTATGTAATTAAAGATGCCAAGTCACTTTTGAGAAATTGGATTTAGGAACTCACATCACTTAAGAGCTTTCATAATATAACTTGTCACTGCCAGCTGAAAGAAACACTATAAAAACAACCTTTGTACTTCAGTGTAATCCACTTCAGAGGTTCTTTCATGTGGAACAACTCCAAATCATTTCTCACGACTATCCTCCCTGAAACTCCGTCCCTTCACATGCATGAAGGCACCTCAGATACAGCACCCCCTGTATCACAATATAGGGAGAAGCATTCTAGCATTTTCCCTGCCTCAGGAAAAGCCTCTAACCTTGCTGTAAAATGTTCCCACTTTCCCTGAGAGACAGCAACACACATCTATGAGACCAGCACACAGATTCCATGTGATATTCAGTTTGCCTTTCTTTCCAATACCAGATATGGAAAATTGATTTCAGCCCTGTACCTGTTCAGCTGACCATGGCTGTGCATTAAGAAAGATGAGAGAACAACAACAACAAAAAATCCAAACTGAACAAAAAAAACCAACAACCCCACAACACACACCACAATTTCAGACATACCCACTCCCTTCTCCAGCTCAACATGTGCCAAAGAAACAACTGTACAAGCACAAACCAAGGAGTGAGAACAAGCAGATAGGTGACAATCATTAAGACAATATTGCCACCAGCTCAAAAAACTTCCTACAGGAAACAAGTGGAAATAGAGGAGAAATGAGCCAGGGTGCCAAGCATCTCCAGACATACAGCAAATAACAAAAGAGGAGGTTTAATTACTTTGAAATTTTCAATGTATGTACATTCTATGCATTACATACTATATAATGTACATTAACAGACATCTGCCATCCATTCCTGGAAGACAGTAGAAAGACATTTGTAATCGGTTACAGCTTATTGTGAAGCCCTGAATGTTTTATTAAGTTTTCAGTTAACTCATATAGAAAGTGCTGAATATCAGATTTTTCTTACATTTAAGAAGTACTTTGTTCCATGTGAAAACAAACTGAGAGGTTTTTTTTTTCAACTAAGGAAAAAACAAAAGAAAAACAATAAAAAAAGAGAAAGACAAAAAAGAGCTAAACTTGTATATGCTCCAAGGATGAAGAGCTGACCTTGCAGTGTGAAGTGCTACAAACAGCCAAAACTCACTCTAACTCCAGTCATAATACTTAAAGAAAGTACAAGTCAGCATGAGACTTCTCCAAACAAAGTTAAGTTAGTCCATCCCACTCAACATTTTAGAGGGTGGAGAATGCTCTGACATTGTACATGATAAGCAACACACAGTACTTGTAAAATACATATATTCAAACACACATTTATAAAGAG